GGATTTGACAATCCAGGCAATGGTGGAGAGGATAACCTAAAAGCCCTTCCCCTAAAATGAGATTGATGACTACTCCTTATGCCATTCTAGAACCTTCATCCAGTGGCTGATGGAAGCAGAGACAGACATCCACAGATGTACACTGAGTGAAATCTGGAATTTAGTTGAAGAGAGGGAGGAATGAAGAGTGAAGGGGTCAGTACCAGGTTGGAGAAACCCACAGAAACAGTTGGCCTGAACAAGGGAGAGCACATTGACCTCAGATACTGTCTGGGAGGCCAGTACCAGACTGATAAAGACCCCTGAACATGGATGTCAATAAGGAGGCCTCTGCACTCCAAGGAGCCTCTGGTAATGGATATGTTTTCCCTGGTGCAAGAAGGGACTTTGAGAGCCCATCCCATGTGAAGGAAGAGGGATGGGGATGAGGGGACGGAGAGGGAGAAGGGACTTACATGTGAAACAAGCTTGTTCCCTAACTAGAACTAATAAATAAATTTTAAAAAAATGATGGGAGGAGTGCATGTCCCTTTGCAGTAAAATAATCTGTAGTAGAATGATCCTACAACTTTATCTTTTCCTGTATGCAGAGCCAATTCAATTTTAAGGAAACAAACTACTACTCAATCCATCATGGGGATTTCTCCAACACTGAATTGCACTGAGTGTGTTTGGGGGAGGGGCTTGCATGTGTGTATGCATGTGAAATGGAAAATTCCTGAAATTAATAAAAAGAAATTCTGTCATGAACAGTAACTTTGATGAAGCCAGCCAAAAAATTTAGCAATATAAGCACCAAGCACAGGAAACAAATGAATGAACTTAATTTATACCTATTATCATATAAACATGCCATACTCAGAAGAAGAGAGAATGCTGATTGCAGAGTCTGGATCTTTGATGAGAAATAGTAAAAATTTCCAATATATACAGAAAGGACCATGTATTGTGTAGCATGATACCCCATAAGTCATGATAGCTTGGTGTACTGTTGCAAATTTCCCAGTGATTAGACTGTAAACATCCTTACCACAAATGAAAACAGAAAATAGAAAACTTAGTAGATGGATACATTAATCATTGGCTTTTGGTAATCAGTGTATGGTATAAATATTTACCAAAACATCCTGTTTCACATTGTAAACATGGTTTTTTTGTCAATTACACACAATAAAATAAACACACACACATACATACATACACACACACACACACACACACACACACACACACACCACAACAGACCCATGAATGAAATTTTAAGACTAGGTAGTTACAATGAACAAGTTGATCAAACATTTAAATAATAAATGGTAACATTTCTTTCATCTTCTGAGAAATAGAAAATGAAACACTCTTCTCTCTTTACACACATTCACAGTTGCCCTGCTTCTAAAGTCATACAAATTGTACCCAGGAAGCAAAGGAAGAAAAGAAACCACAGGCCAATATCTGCAACAACATGAGTGCAAAATCCCAGAGCATACTAGGAAAGCCAATTCAAGAGTACATCATTAAAGACTTGCATTGTGACAGAGGATTATCTAGCATTAGTATTGATTAATATTTCTGCAGATGAAAACCAAAGTGATATGCCATATTTGTTATCTATGTAATGAGAATAAATATCACTTATTCATCTAAATTATAGTAAATGACTTAAAAACGGCATTATTATGATGAATTTCTCCTAACAATTAAGTATAGAAATAATTATTTCCTCACTTTAAAATCTACTTATGGAAAAATATAGGTATTATCAAATGTAAGAGGGAGAAGGCTTTTTATTTAAGGTCGATTATAAAGTGATGATGTCTATTGGTGTCCTCATATTCAAAATTATTAGATAGCCCTCCTTGAACAACTAAGTTAGAAGAAAAATGGCAGACATATACATTAGAATGTTAGGAGTAATATCTTTGTTTCCAAATGACAGTTTCCCAAGAACTAAAGCTTTTCTTCAAGTTCTATTAAATTGGTAGGTAAATTCAGAAAAATTACAAAACAGAAAGTAATCATGTATAAAGTAATTGTTTGCTCATGTAAACAATGGGCAACCTGAATCCCATTCCCAAAGATAAAAACTCAGACATATATTTACCAACGTAAATGAGAGCCTAGCAGATCAAAAAACACAAAACAATCTAAATAAAAAAACTTAAAGAAGACTAAAATAGGAAGATATCTGTACATCACAGCTTGGAAGAATGGGTTATATACCCCAAAGCTATCTGCAGAGTCTGTGAACTCATTATCAAAGTCCTAAGAGTGTGCATTTGCTTAAATATAAAAACCAGTTATCCATATTGAATAAAAAAAAAGAACTCTCAGTAACTTAAGCCATCTTCAGAAAGACTATACTGTGGGCCTCACATTTATTTTTACTATAAGAATGTTGACAAATTACTGTAACATAAACTGTGTGTTACAAAGACAGACAAAAAGATCAATGGAAAAGAATAAGGACCCAGACATATATCCAGGCACACAAATTATTTTCAGCTATGATTCAAAATATGCACAAAGAGAAAAGGATACTTTCTCAACAAATGATGTTGAAAATACAGATAGTTATACACAAAATGTTGACACACCATGGGACACATTTTTTAACATGGAGTCAACTCAACTCAAATGTACTAAAATGTAAACTGGAACATTTAAACTGACACACTCAAAAATGAAAAAAAAAACATATAGAACATTAAAGTTCTGGTTTTGACAAAGGCTTTTTGGCTATCACAACAAAAGCCCCATCATTAAACTCAGAAAAGGGATACAAGAGGGACTTTATCAAATAATGATCCATTCATATAGCAAAAACAGTCAAGAGTCTGCTAATGAAATGAGTGGCAATGTTTTACAACCCTGAACCTCATAAATGTAACTATGTAAAATATGTTAGGAATTTTTACAAGGCAGTAAAAAGGAAAGAAAATTTAGCCAGTTAACAAATGAGTATGGGACTTGAATTGACATTTCTTTAAGAAGCAGATAGAAATAGCAAATCAATATCAGGGAAATGAAAAGCAAAATGACAAGATTGACCTCCACACCCAAAACATTGGCTCTTTCCAAAATGGTAGAAAATAACAAGTTTGTTCATGGATACAAACCTATTAGCATCTTTTCTCATGACTGTTAGGCTACAGAATGGTGCAGCCACTCCAGGAAATTTAGCTGTGGTTTCAAAATGCAAACAAGGACTTAAATAGGACCCAGCAATCTCATTTCTTGTTATTTATCCAACAGAACTGAAAACAGGATGTGGAGATAACACCAAGGTCCTTGCCCTCTCAAACCCATTACAGTATTGTTCAAAAGAGATGCCTCAGGGAAATAACCAAGATGTCTACTGATGGGGCAATGGTAAATAAGAGTCCTCTGGGTGCTAAAATTAAGAAAAGCCTCCTAATTGTAACAATGTGGGTGCACCTTGGGGACATTCTGCTAAGTAAATTAAGCCAACCATGGAGGGACAGAGAGTACAGAGTCCCACCCACTTTTGTAAGGCATATAGAGTTCAACTCAAAGAAATTCTTTTGGAATAATGATACCAGAGGCTGCAAGAAGCACAATCAGAAGACAGTAGGAAAATTTTAGTCATGGAATGTGAAAAATCTCACAAATACCTAACAACTGGCATACAGTTAGTAATATTAATAGCAGTAATAATACATATTAATAGTTACTTACTGCTATTTGGTTTTCCAATAAAATGAATTTTCACTATTAGTGTGCAGTTTTAAAATATTCAGTTATTTTCCTATAGACGGACATAAGTGAATCTCTTAAGTGATTGATACTTAATGACTGAAGTAAGTTATTTTATACTTCTAAACCAGCAATATACACATTATTTAAAAATCAAATTTTAACAAGTTTGTCTGGTGGAGGAAAACTGAGAGCATATCTCTTGAGAAATGTCACTTTGCCAGTATTTAGATCTTGGATGAGTTTCAAAGGATGCGGTCACCTGTGTAATGTTTCAAGGGTGAGCAACAGAGAGCCTCTGACTCTTTGAGGAGTTCAAGATTGGCTGCATGCACATCTGGAGATACTCTGTCTTGTTGTCATTTTCACTGTTATTACTGCCTTTTAAAGCAGTTGTCAATCCAATTGCCACTTATCACCTAGCAAATTGTTATTTCATATAAACAGTTTTCATAGTCTCCCCTTGTCTTTTATAAAAGTGGCATGTATACCATTATGTTTCTATTATAGAAGCAAAGAAAGAGAGGCATACACAAATACAGAAAACAGAACAGAAATCAAACCTCCTGACTCACTATAGTATGTCATGCTTTTTTTTCCCCTCAGTACCTTTTCTTCTTCCTTATTTCATCCTGTGAGATTTGGAAAGAGATTGGGATATCAAATGCCAATGTGGTCACAAAATGTGGAGTTTTGTGTGGGAAATATCTTCCTCAAATTTCTCTGTAATGTGCCTAAGCAAGTGCAAATTTTTAAACTGATACAAAATGAATGGTACCAAGAGTTTAGCCTGGAGAGACCTTGGACGATGGAGTTGATTGTTTCATCTTTTGGGCACTCATACTGTTCTTCCTTCTCAGGAACCTGAGGTTTTATGCAAAAGAAGCGACTTTAAAAATGTCCTTTCAAGTCCTCTAGTCAAATTTATTAAATATAATGCATTGTGGGTGCAGTTATGTTTTCAGAATGCAGGATGTGACGTGTAAGTTAGAAAGTATAGTTGCAAACTGTGCGAACATTAGTAAGTCTGTTTGAAGGCTAAAATACTGAAATCATTGTGTTCCACAGATGTACAGCCTTTGACTATTTAACAGTTTGTTTTTAACAACAGCATGCTTCTCAACACAAATCTGAACTCATTTCTGTATTATCTAATGTGATATTGTTAAAATGCTTCGTTCCTTTTATCAATCAACGAAATGTCAAACTATTAAAATTTATGCTGACAGAAGTCTCTATGTTCCACTTCTAATCAGGCATTAAGAATGATATTCACTGAAAGTACTACATGCGATTTGAATAAGAACAAAGTATATTTTGCTAATTTTGTTTTCCTAACATTATCTGTTCCAGTAATTGCACCCTGAGATTATGATTGAAAGGCAATAACAGGCTATTCCTTACCCAAATCCATATAAATCTATGTGTTTGTCTGCCTTTTACATTCTCTGGATATTCTCCCTGTTTTCTCTTCTGAAGTGCAAGGTATCACATACTTGCCTGATGCAGTGAAATTTAAGAATTTCAGTATGAAATCATAGGAGCCATCCCTACTGGCAGTCAGCACAAGTTGCTCTTTTATAGCTTCCCTCTTTCCCTAAACTTATTTTTGAAAGCTATAACACTGGCACTGCTTATTTCAATAATAGCTTTGTATGTAATTATTTATATCCATTCAGTCGTATGTTATTGTTACCTTCATCTAAATATTGTATTCAGATATTTTACTCATATCTTCCTTTTTCACACTACCATCACATATTACAATAATATACTCCATCATTTTAATAGGGTATCCTACTAATGTTAATAATTATTGAATCCTTAAGATACACATTTGCAGCATGAAATCTATAATGTGTAGCTTTATTTCAGGTCAAAACATCTGTCTAAGAAATGGAAAGATGATTAATTTTCCATTTGTTTGGGGACAGAGCACTATTTATAAAGCAAACAGACAAATCACTTCAAACAGAGAGGGCACTGAACAGCAAGCTATGTACTTCTTCAATCAATACCCCATGACCTTTCAAGATGAAAGGGTGATAGTCTTCCACCAAGGAAGGAGAGGGAGCAGTTCTTTGCACTGCTTATGAGATATAGAGGTCTCTTGGTTATGCAGAAAACAGGATACAATAGAAACTTCAGAAAACACTAGAGTGGACTCATGGCTACACATTTTTCTAAGCTTCCCATTCACTACCAGTTTTCATCTTTTCATAAGCCCTTCTGTTCCCCAAACTAAGGACACATTCTGTTTATTGTGTGCCTGTATCCCCCCTCCCCTTGTATTCAGCTGTGTGTCTATGCCCTCTTCACAGTACAAGTAATAGCTCTAAATCAAGAGCCCAATGCATGCCTCACTCATTCAGCGCTCTGGGGATCATATGACAGAGTGCGGAGAATGTGAGGGAGGTCCCCAACAACAAAGCAGGATATTATTTCCAGTGAAGCCTTGTGGCTATGTGCACCTCTGTAGCAAGAACAATTAGTCTTTGTTTTTCCTCTGATCCTAAGAGTCAGCTTGACTGTCCCATTGCAAAAGCTCAAAGGAGTTCTCATAGCTTTTCTAAAGCCCCTGAGACTGAACAGAAACCACTCCATCCTTAGATACCTAGGACATGTGTTTAGAAAAATATGAGGGTTTTACTAATTCACTAGCCAAAATCATTATGTTTCCAAATGAAGTGTAATTACCATGGCAAATACATGATTTTAAAAAGGTGAAATAACTAAAGTATAATAAAAGTACTTTCTATGATCAACAAAAAATGCAAAGGTTGGAGTCACAAGTCTAAGTCTTTGGCCCAGGGTTGTGCCATTTCTTTATAGACTCATAGATCTCAGAAGTTTTTAAGGTAATATTTTAGAAATCAATCTGCACTATATTTAATGGCTTTTTACAAACTTTTGAGAATGTATTCACTTGTATTTATTTGCTTTTCAGAGTTAATAGACCCATACTCTAACATGAAAGACTGTGAAACTGCAGTGTTATGTTAGAATGTGGTATAGACAAAGGTACATCCTTTATACAGGACTGTAACTTATAGTTTAGTATTCTCTAAGGAGGTCCAGGTGACTTGTGATACTTGCCAATAAGACTAACATATTTACACCTAAGACAAAGCAATTGTTAAGAGTCACAATTCAGAGTATTGAAACTGATTAGTCCCTGGCATCCTTCTTACTCGAGAACTGCAGTATCAATACTAACACAAATTCCTCAGTGTTGATGAAGTGACTAGACAGTTGTAAATGTCGAACCTAAAGTTTGGTGGCATCTCTTCATATTTGAAGGCAGTGAGAAAATACTAACAATTTTCACAAAATCAAGAAACATCTTCTGAGATGGCAAAACATTCAGAGTCTTTCATACAACTATTACAAAATCACCAGGGATTCTTGGTAAAGGGTTAGATAAAGAATTATAAATTCTTGAAACTGTATTGAAACAATGTTTCTAATTTGAAAAAATAACATTCAATAAAAATATGTTAAAATTAACATGTTAAATATGTTATTTTTGAATAAAATAACCGATGATTTTGAATGATGTAAATATGAAATAAACTTGGATATAATACGCCACAGAGTTTAAGATTCTTAATTTCTGGGGCATTTAGTCAGAATGATATTGCAGAACTTTTTAGTATTGTCCCACTCTATCTTTACATAGATGTTAATGAAACTGACACACAACGTTTTATGATTGAAAAAACTTTTAAGGAATCCTATTATCACACAGAAATCACATGACTTCATAAATGTAATATATTGCATCTTGGCTTCTGGTGAGGCTAAAATTATGCATTGCTAAATCTAAAGACATGAAATTTATAGAATAAATTTTTTGAAAGTTAGAATTATACTTTCCCCAAGGTCAGGTGACATTTTGGCAGAATGAAGACACTAGAATGAAGTATCTCTGAAGTAATGCTCTCCAAAACACTATGATTTCATCAAAACTAAAGGCAACCTTCTTAGGAAACCTGATTTGTCATGTCTTCAATGAATAATGGCCAGGAGGTGTTATCGGGCTTCTTCTAGTGTCAGACAAAGTAAATTTGAAATCTCTGCTCCTTGGATTCAGACTTTCCAACACAACCACAGTTTATATAATAAATATTAACAACTTAAAGACTGTATTTTAAACCACATAATGAGATCCTCTGTACTTATCAGGATAAGACATTATTAAACAAGCCATTTGTTTTATATGATAAAATGATTAAATAGTTAAAGGGAAGATACAAACAGGCTTTCTTTTTCCCATGACAAGGAAAAAACATCATCTCCAGGCAAAATCATGCCTTGTAGCTTTTGAAACTCCTGCAACAGCATCACACTTGTGTGTTCGCATGTAGTCTATGGCTGCTTTTAAGAAATATTAAGGGCGGTGGGTTCCGAACGCCGAACACCCACCCACCAGGAGAACAAGAAATTCTTGCTACACCCACCAGAAGAAAGGATGAGAAGAGGACAAGGTAAAAACACATCCAACAACAGAAAACCCAATATGACACCACCGGAGACTAGGAACCATACACCAGTAGGACCTGAACATCGCAATGCAGATGAACCAGAAGAGAATGATGTTAAAAACATCTTCAGGAAAATGATAGAGGATCTCAAAGAGGACATGAGAAAATCCCTTAAAGAAATGGAAGAAAAAACTCACCAAAAAATACAAGATATCAATCTTCAAGTCAATCAATATCAATCTCTCAAGGAAACAGTTCAAGAACTAAAAACTGAAATAGAGACAATGAAGAAAGCACAATCTGAGGGAATGCTGGAAATAGAAAAGCTGGGTAAACAATCAGGAACTACAGATGTAAGCATAACCAACAGAATACAAGAGATGGAAGAAAGAATCTCAGGGGTTGAAGACACACTAGC